GCAAGTGCATATCACCTCTGTGTTGGGCTAAAGTGGGTGGCACTTAGCTAGCAAAGGGACATGTTCCTAGTAGCACTCTTATCGTCCCCAAGATGATATGAGAAACTACAGAGAAGATTATGCAGATCCGTGAGCGATTAAAGGCATCTCGGGATCGACAAAAGAGCTGTGTAGATAAGCGATGCAAACCCTTCGAATTCCAGGTTGATGACGGCGTGCTGTTAAAGGTCTCTCCCTGGAAGGGGATGATACATTTTGGAAGACGTGGGAAACTAAATCCAACGTATATCGAACCATTCGAGATCCTTTCTAGAACTGGCCCGGTAGCTTATAAACTTCGAATACCACAAGAACTCAGCAACATACACCCCACGTTTCACATGTCCAATCTAAAGAAGTGTCTATCCGATGAGACTCTTGTAATCCTACTTGAGTAAATCAATGTAAATGAGAGGCTACACTTCATAGAAGAAGCTTTGGAGATCATGGACAAGGAGGTCAAAAGGACGAAAGAAAGCTGCATACCGATCGTTATGTTTCGTTGGAACGCCAAGCGAGGGTTTGAATACACCTAGGAACGAGAAGATCAAATAAAATAGAAGTACCCACATCTATTCCCCAACCCTTGAGGTCTTACTTAAAATGCTAATTTCGAGACGAAATTCCCTCTAACGGGGGGTAATGCGACAACTGTCAATTTTGGTCACGTAAAGTCAACAAGTTAGCAAGGAATCAAACGAGTCAACAAAGTCAAATTATTAAAGCCCAAAAAGCCTTGGGATTTTGGTTGGCACTGGACTGAAATCACATGTGATTCTTATTGAACCATGACCGAAATCACCAAAATGATCTCGGTTGGTGCTAGGCCGAAATGACCAATGTGATTTCGGTCTGTGCTAGACCAAAATCACATGTGATTTCGGTTGATACCTTGCATAATATTTCCTTGATATTTAGATGATTCATGCCACTTGACTGGTGGATTATTTTTCCCAACATGATAAATTACACAAACCAATGCACATGTCACTTCACCCTACCTTCATCCCCGTTTTCCATATATACATATATATATATATATATATATGTATATATATATATATATATACACACACACACACACACATGTATATGGCCAAAATCTTCATTCATGAGCCACATTTTCATCTTCAAACTTCTCAAAATTTCCTCCTAATAACGAGTTCAACGTCTTCAAATCTTCATACAAATTCCTAGGAAACTATTCCTTCAAGATCTATTTCTTAGGAATTATTGCAAGTCTCCCAATTTAAATCTAGTGTTTATACAATACATCGATGTTAGTCATCAAATTTACACACATTATTACGTTTTGAAAACAATTAAGATACGACTACCTTCAAAGTATTCTAACTTGAATATCATCATCTTTACCTTGTTATCCAGCCAAGAACACACTCGAGGTGAGTTCATACCCCCAACATTTTTCAAGATTTTTATGTTTTTATTAGGGGGGGGGGGTTACAAGTTAAACATAATAAAATTTGTGTTAATATACAACTCAATACAAATGTTTTCTTACATTTTTATATAAAAATGCTAAATACACGAACTAACGTCACTACCAAGCTTAAGAGTTTTTACATGCAAAATTGCTAAAACCAAAAATGTTTTTATTTCAACGGAACATACATTATAAACTATAATAGGTAGAATTTATGTTCATTTACACTATTTTTCCAATTCGGGATAGAACACAAAAATAATTATTTAAAGGCAAAATTATTTTACACTACGTAGCTATTTTAAAAAAGGATAATACTTCCACATAAAAAAAAGATTTTCACTATACTATACGTAAACCAGTTAATACACGGTTGTGATATACGATGTTCATGTACTTTCTAGAGTACACGCTAAAGTCCTGTATTATAACCAGAGTCTCTTGTAGGGAGAGTGTGACACTTGTGAATAGATCTATACGAGACTGACAACCTCACACTTAACTGTTAGCTACAATCGGGCCAGCAGGTCTAGGGTGACAAATGTCATAACATTTTGACAACTGAAGAACGTCGTAACATGCCACTAGTCGCTAGCATGGTTTTGATAACTCACTTAGGGTATTAACAAAACATTTGGTTTAGGGGGTTAACATGCATACAAGTAGTTTTATATAAAAATAAAACTTCATAATACTATTCACTACTACAACACTACATACATTTTTGGTCTTTAGACCTAAGAGTTACAGCTCATTTTACAAGAAAATATTGGATTTTCTGAAAGCACATTCTATCAATATACAAGGAGAAATTGCCGATAGTTCGTATATAAATTTTTTATGAACTCAACAACTTAATTGTTGATACTTTTTCAAAGCTACTTGTATTCTTAGGGAATCAGTAAACAGGTAACCATAATAAGGGTTTTGGATGATGAGGCGTCGCCGTGTCATGCTATTTTTTTGACTGATGTATTTAACATCAAGAAAACACGCTTTGTGTACAATGTAAACTACTTAATTATCAATGCAATGGTTGTATGGCTTTGATCACGATTATTCATTTGTTATGATACTGTACATGAAGTCAATCTACCCCTAAATGTTTCCGTCGTTCTGGTCTGGGGTGTGACAACTTATAGTGATGGGCCAAGCAGGACTCAGTTGATGTGTTCAATTTGAAGTCGTATGTCGTCATCACAAATCGGAAATTGGGAAACAAAACTTTGGATAATGAGATTGATTACAATCCATGTCTCTTGTGTGTATGATATCTAGTAGAACAGAGGAATACTTCATCACTTATCTTAGGACCAATATTTGTTAAGTTTAGAGTTCGATAGTTGCTATAGAAGCACTCTTTGTAGTCGCATTTAGAAGTTATACTGGTAATTGTAGTTATTGACTTATCTAAGTGGGAGAATTTTGGATTAGGAGTTTAAGCCGATAACTGAATTACTATATAGCAAAGTCCTTTTGGGTTGCCTCAAACCTACTAATTGAAAACGATGACTTCTAGATCGAGAGACTGATTTATTGGTTTATTATATGATTAATATATACCAATTCATGGAAATGGTATATTAATTAGAAATGGTAATATTTAATTAAGAATTAACAAGAAATTAATTAGAATTAATTTCATAATTAATTGGATTAATTAAATGTGCAAGGACTATTTGGTTATTTATTGAAAGTTGAACCAGGAAGACTTTAGCCCCAAGTTGATTATTATATTAATTAATCTAGGAATCATCTAGAATTTTCATCTAACACACTTGGATGAGGAGATAAGGTAGCTTGATTATTATATTAATTAATCTAGGCCTTATCCCAAAAAACCATAACTTTGGCCCCAAGTTTCCATCAACTATATAAAGGGTCCTATTGCTTCATATTTTAGTCACTCATTCTTCTTTAAAGGTAGCCAAAAATTTTCTTACCTCTCTCCTCTCTCGAAAGATTCTTAGTTGATAGTGTTGGGTGTATACCATCAGAGGCACACCATTTGTGGTGCTAGCTTCCAAGCTATTGAAGAAAGGATTCGTGGTTGATAGTTCACACTATGTTGCCTTTATGTGAAAGATATAGATCCTCTTTAGGTTGCATGTGCCCTAATCATTTAATTGTTAAATGTTTTTTCTGCTTAGAGCATTGTTTTATAATCTACGTTTTCCATCAAAATTAATTGTGGATAAGTCGCTAAGCATAATGGATTTCACTGTATAAAGCTTCTAAAAGTCGCGTAGGCTTGGTATGTATGTAAAAGTGTAATGTACTCGTTTTCATAAAGATGTATGTTCCAAAGTAATGAACATATGTACGGGTATAAATTTTATGTATTTAAAAATAAAAATATACATTGAAAGTAATAACTTGAATCCTTGAAATACTACAAAGTTTTATGACATGCTTTTATGACATACAATATCACATAAACTTAGTATTGTAAAACTCGCCGAGTTGGCCCATTACTCATCCGAGTCCTTGCTATTCCGCCCCTTACCGATGCGAGTTATAGAATCCCGAGTACTCACAAATCTGCCCTTTACTGAACTGAGCAGTGTTGTAAAACTCGATCAACTCGGCGATTAAAATCTATAATATACTTAACGATTTATTATTTAACACAAACATATGTGATTATTACTACATGTATTTCGTAAAATTTTAGTAATTATTCATGAAGTGAGACCATTATGTGTTTTTCAGTTTTTTTGTATTCATATGTATGTAATTTTTTTTATAGATTTCAATCAACTTAAGATTTAAACTTACGATTTTAACATATATAAGTTCCCTAAAAATATTTCTACATTATTACCGAATCCGAGTACTCCCCAAGTATTCCCGAGTACTCGCTACTCGGTAGTCAGCCTAACAGGTACTGAGCAACGAGTTCTACAACCTTGCATAACCTCATATATTTTGTATCATATACCATTTGTTGTGTGGACCAATTATTTCATGATAAAATAACTATAAATTTATATGAAAAGTTTATATTCATTTATTGATAAATTTTTTTGGATAAACAAAGTATATAGGCACATGTACCCCCGTGTGAAATAACTAGAAATATTAAAAAGAGGTTGTACGCACTCACCCTTGAAGCGTGAGTTCGAGTGGTTCGAAGTTTGTTTTATTTTTAGAAACTTGACGTGAGAAACCGTAAAACCATGATTCTTGAACTTTGAAATACTTTCTGGCCTGTTTTGGAACGAATTTACACCATAGGGGTTGTTTTGTATCTTCACTAAACTATAGGGGCTGTTTGATAGTTTAGTTAACCAAAGTAGGACTGGTTTTGTTAAAATAAATCGAGGGAATAACACCAAAGATGGTTGATTTGGTAATATTGTACAAAAATAGAGGCTGTTTTGATTAAATATTTGCAAATGGGTTGATCTTAATTTAATACTACAAATGGAGGGGCTGGATTTGTTTAATGGTCTAAACTTAACAAAAATTAGGGCTTTTTATGCCCCGTCTTTTGTTTGATCCGGAAATAGAAAGAATGATCCAACTAGACAGAACACGAACGGATGAAGGCCGATACGAACGAACAATGACTGGCAAGAAGGAAGCACGAAGGCTGCGGCGGGGCTTTCGGTTCCATGCTCGTCGCAGGTAACGAAGATAACCGAAGGAATGAAGAAGCTTGCAGGCAGGTACGAGGTTTTATCGATCGATCGCGAGAAGGGAGCGTCTCCGGGAGTCGACGAGACCGAACAAAGGAGATGGGAAGAACAGCGAGGCTGCGCTTTGTCTATCTGATAGAGAGAGAGGGCCGAGATTCAGAAGTTATTGGATCGATGGTTCGGTGTGGCTAAGAAGTTGCGAAGGAAAGGTGCGATGGGGGATTATCCGGCAACCTCATTGAAGCTTCTTGATATCTGTCTCTTATTTTTTTTTTTTTGTTTTTTTTGTTTTTTTTTTTGTTTTTGTTTTTTGTTTTTTTTTTTTTTTTGAACAGGAATCGTTGCAGGGAAATCGATGGAGGGAAGGGGTAAAGCAACAACAATGGTGATGACTTTAGAGGGTGTTTGGCTTGCTATGCTCGATGTCCAACAGGAGGTGAAAACGAGAGAGATGCGAGGGGCATTTTGCTTCGGTAATTCCTTGCTTCATCTTCTTTCTGTTTTGATAGGGACAATGAAAAAGAACGAAGTATAATAAATTTGTGATCCATTGGGGTGTTTGTTTAATTTTTTGACAGGAAAAGGAGAACAAAAATAGGAGTGGCTGTTGCTCTTGTGTTTGCACTAGAAAAACACCCACTTCAGTGGTGTGTTCTTGGCTGGAAACGAAGAAGAAGGAGAAAAGCAACAATTTTTGTGGTGTTTGGGTGTTGCTGTAAACGCGAAGGGAAGCAATGGGGAGCGAGAGACGGTTGTTGCCCTTTTGGATGTGTTCCTGACAGCTTCACTCTAAAAAGGAAATATGAAAAAGTTTCCTCCGTATGTACCTTTGGGTAACTTGAAATGTAAAAGTAAATGTAAAAGTAATACTTCAATTTGGTTGTGAATTAACTATATGATTGGTGTATTTTGTGTATCAAACTCAAGCAATGTGTTGCACTAATTGAATATATATTTGTATGTATTATTTATTGAGTGGTATGGATAAATGGATCGTGTATATAGTTGATAGCTTTTTAGATAATCCTATTTGTACAACAAAATCAATATAAAGATATTACATTAGTTATACACGTAAGTATAAGAATTTGAATAATAAGATGCGGATTATACAAGTATTTGTGTATGTATTGGTGTATTACTTTAATTAATTTAACATATATTTTAGGTAATAATACATGGTTGAATATTTGACTCAAAATGTATGACTTGTGGTACTAAAATGGGTATTGTTACAACATTTAAAATGTTACAAAACAGTTTTTCTCGATTTGTCTCGAAATTAAGTAATTTTTCTGAAAAAGGTGAATGATAGAATTTACTTCATGGATTTCAAAAAATCCAAACAGATCAAATTTTCGAGTTATACATGTGATTCTTCGTCTATAAATATTTTGACTAAAAATATTTTGAAGTATGAATTTAAATATTAGAATATAGCTTGATTCCAAAAACATTCTTGTAATTTCCATCTAAGGTGTGCAAGTCCCTTAACGGATAGAAATAATTTTAGCAGTTTAAAGAAAATCAACACTATATTGGTTTGTATTCTTAAAGCGGTCGTATATTTTGCATACAAATTCCGTTTTGGATGTTCTTTATATTTTTAGAAACTGGGAAAAATGTACTACAAGACTTGAATGTGTTCTTTGATCACAAGTGCTAAATACGAAATTCTAGTTTCTCAAATACATTAACTAGGTTTGCAGTTTGAGTTGTTTGATTCGTTTGCTAGTTTACACATCTGAAGTATGATACCATCTGGTATCCTAGAATAGTTGAAATGAACTCATTTATTTTTACAGAAAATGCTCTAAAACTCAATGAGGCAAAATACAAAGAGATTTACTTGAATTGACCACTTATAGTATTTGACCTAAATTTTGGGATATCACAAGCATGCTCAAGTATCACGACATCTGGGCTTGCTCCGTACCAACATACTCAGGATAAAAAAGAGCGCTCTTAATAATCATCTTGGTGATCTCCCTCACTATCTCCGTTGTCTGTCTCAAAACCGTATACATCAAGGGAACATAAATAATGCAAAACATCTTTGAAAACTGCTCCCAAGTAACAACAACCCTCTGCTCCAAAGTATAAGAACCAGACACCTGGTTCCACCAGTCCTTCGTGCCCTGTCAAAGAAGGTTCATAACACATCTAACCTTCTAGTCCTCCGGATAGGAAAAAGTCAACAAACAACCCTCTACATCTAATAACTACCTCATATCAATGATCGGGTCCTTGACCCCGTCAAACTCTGGGGGCTTTGTGTTGCTGAAGTCCTGATACTGGAATAATCATTTCCCCTAAACCCCTACAGCAGAAACAGTTGTGGTAGATGCAGTAGCAACAACCTTAGCCACAGTGGTGCACCGCTCATTAAACAACTCATTGCAGTCTTGATAGACCCAAAAACCTTGAGGATAGCACCCCGAATAGCCATAGATACCTCCATAACGATCAACTCGTGAATGTCATAATCCGACAATCTGAGCCTCTCTGGGCCGCCAGTTCCTGAATGGGAACCTCTCGTGAATACCATACAAAAAATAAACAAAATTATTTTAGAAACGCGAAAATTTATGATATTAAAACCATTAAATAAAACAAAACCCTCAGGGTTTGTGCTTTCCTTGCTACACGCATGGGTCCTATGCTTCCTGTAGTACGGACCCATAGTACCTTCTACACTTACCCGTATTTGTTTCAATAGATCGCGACAGACCACCCAAATACATAACCCCACGACTAGGATACACATAAATCCGATACTCACTTTCTTGAGAGTAGCTAATCATCCCTCAAGTTGGCCTGCTACTATCACACACACTCATGGAACTTGCATCAACCCTACAATCACTTGTGCATGCTAGTCATACATAACACTGGATTCTGTAGACATACAAATACTTAATTCTACCCTAAACCCACAAATAGACAAGGAACTGGAAATAAGGCTAAATCAAACATTCCCAGGGTATAAAATTTTAGTTATGTACAACTATGATGCATACACTAAGCAACTATAGTAATGATGTCAATTCCATATAACATACAAGAAAATTTCCTAGGCTATCAGACAACATACATTAGCTAATTCTGTCATGCAATTCTTGAAGATCTCTAGCCTACTACTAGCATGTTTTTTTATCATAATCATCATAAACAAATAACAATGTGGGTAACATAGGGTATACTTATTGCTTCGGCTAATCGTACACATCACTTCTTTCTTTAGTTACTTTTGAAAACAATTTGAAAACTTTGAGTCTTGATTTACACGGATGATCATCCAATTCTCTCAAACCAAGGCTCTAATACCAACTTATAATATGCAAAAAATCACGATATATTTTTCATTTTTAGTTTAATTAAAAATCATTGTTTCATTCAAAACCCAAGTAATAAACCCAAGTATCATATATAAATATCCCAAAATTAGAGTATCATAAAATCTCCAAAACATATTAGTAAAGGATGTGTAGGATCACACCTTCGCCTTCCCCCTATCCTCGGAAGTACCTGAAACCATAAAATCAAACTATAATCCAATTTTTAGTGAGTTTCCCCGAAGTACCACACACATCCAATAGATTACATTATGCATATATGAGCCTTCATCATGGATGGATAACCTCGTTGGGTCAGCCACCTATCTGGACCGCTCTCTGGGACTTCGGCCTGACTGGATCGTCTTGTAGGCCTTCAGTTTATCTGGACCTCCCCAGGTATCTTGGCCTTCAACACACATATGAGGACTACCTGGAACCAACAAATCATAACATGTGGACATATACAATAATAATCTATAACCAATAAATACATGGAATCATACGTATCTACATGTCTACCACACAATCAGTGAACACAAGTAATCATAAAGATCTACTAGCCTATAATATAACCAACATAACATCATATCATATACTAGGATATATAATCCAGTGGGCCGGCATTGGTGCCTTCAACCCACAAGTACAATGTGGAAAAACTCACTTCTTAGTTTGAAATGTAGCTGAACAGATCATTGTTCCAATTGTTGACTCTACCGATCACCTATATAATAAACACAAAACTAATCTCAAATTACTATTGAAATTACCCAAAATTACCCTAAGTCAAACTTGGTCAAGGTCAAAGTCAAAAATTCAAAGAATCAACACAGACTGAGTACACAATGCGTACTTAATCACTACGCTCACATCGTAGATCCCTTCCTAGAAACAGGGATCCAGCCTCGTTGTAACCTCCCAAAATTCAAGTCCAAAAATTTCATTTTTAAATAAGTTATTATAAAACGATGAGTAATAAAACATCAATAATAACATCACATGTCAAAACCAAAGTGCCAATAGTCAAACATGTTATCATGAAATAATATGAGACTGTAATCCCAAAGATCTCATGTGCAGAAAACATAGTGTGATGCGTTGCAATCGAGTCGACTCCTTTCCTTTGAAAACAAAGTATTTGAAACCAAAACTGAAAACTATGAGAACGAAGCTTAGTGAGTTTCTTCATCATACCACATACCATACATAACACAATGCACAACATAACTGGGTACTAATTACCCGTTTGGTTCTGTCGACCGGTACCTTGCCTAACATATCAGTGTTGGATAAGATGTCTAAGTCCATAACTATTTCTGGTATGTACTTGACCCGACCCGGCATGGTCCATTTGGGTTGCATGGCACCATGCAATTGGATAGACTAAATGAGAGAAATAACACTTGGAGATTATTAATATATTATAAGTTCTAATATATTAATAATATTATTTGATTAGTTTGATCAAGAATTAATTTAGAATTAATTAAGTGATCAAAAGATAACTAATTAAATATATGGGTTGATTATGTAAATCATCCATATCTTGTATAGTGGGCTAAAAGGCTCCATGGACTATCAAGTTGGGTTCCACCCATAGGATGCTCCATGGATGCTCCATGGGAGTTACAAACCCATGGGTCATGGAAATGAAGAGTCATGACACATTAGGGTTTAACCCTAGATGTGTCAACACTATATAAGTAACATATTCTCCACCAAAATCGGCTACACTAAGAAACAAGAGGGCTTGGCCGATTTTGAAGAAGTGAGTATTCTCTCATAAGTTCTTCCAAGAGCATTTGGTGTTGTGTGAAGCATTTGAGGCATCACACTTGGGGTGCTAGGCTCACAAGGTTTCAAGGAACACAAACAACAACAAGGTAAGTTATTCTATCTATACTTTATGTTAAAATTGTTCCCCATGTATGCTAGATAGGAATATAACCTTGGAATTCAACTTTGCATGACAATTAGACAAACATAGATCCAAGGTTATTAGGGTTGCATGTACACTTAGGAAGTGTTAGAATGCTCAAAACCCATCAGTGGTATCAGAGCCTAGGCTTGTTTGTTCTTATTTGTGCTTAAAAGTTGAAAACAGAATCGGAAATTTGCTGTCTGCGAATGGACTCGTCGAGTCTATAGGGGGACTCGTCGAGTCCATGAGTATCTTCAACCAACTCGGCGAGTCAGTTTATGCACTCGGCGAGTAGGGTCGAATGAGTGCAGAATTTCGATTCAGTTGCTGGAAATGAATTAGAAACATTACCCTAAACTGTTTTGGTAATTGAAAACTTGTTTTTGGTGGTGTAATGTCTTTGCTAATTCATTTACAACAACTAGTTATCAAAATTACAAAGTTTTATGTAATTTTTGATTGTGTTCATATTCATGTTCTTGTTCTTATGATGTTTTAGATGATCATAGGAATTATTTGTAACCTATTTGGTAGTTTAATTCTTGATCATAATGTGTTTTAATGGAGTCCATAACTTA